TTTATTATTAACTGATTATTTGGAGATCGTGAGTTGCGGTCTGGTTTGACGTTGGTTTTAGAAAAACATTTTCTTTATCGTGCCAACGTTTCGATCTTTATTGAGATCATCTTCAGGGCCTGGGATTTATAAACATTGTTTGATTTTAGAAATACATGTAGGATGTGGAATATAAAATTATCAATTTATACAATGCTAGAAAACTTTAGATTAAAAAAAATTATACATTGTTAGAGAATTTTAGGTTAAAAAAAGAATGAATTTATACCATGCTAGACAATTATAGATTCAATCAAAGTATACACCCTATTTCTCTCATTTCACACGCTCTCTTTCTCTCACCCTCCTTCGCTTCTTTCTTTCATTGTATCTATCATTCACTGTAACTTTATTATTAACTGATTATTTGAAGATCGTGAGATACGGTCTGGTTTGACGTAGGTTTTAGAAAAACATTTTCTTTATCTTGCCAACGTTTCGATCTTTATTGAGATCATCTTCAGGGCCTGGGATTTATAAACATTGTTTGATTTTAGAAATACATGTAGGATGTGGAAAATAAAATTATGAATTTATACCATGCTAAAAAATTTTAGTTTAACAAAAAATTATACAGTGTTAGAAAATTTTAGGTTAACAAAATGAATTTATACAATGCTAGAAAATGTTACATTCGATCAAAGTATACACCCTATTTCTCTCATTTCGCACGCTCTCTTTCTCTCACCCTCCTTCGCTTCTTTCTTTCATTGTATATCATTCACTCTAACTTTATTATTAACTGATTATTTGGAAAATAATCATTGGCTAACGGTCACTAAACACCACACATTAATAAACTGTATTTGTTGATTAAATGAATACTCAATAGGCTTTCTACATTAAACAAAAGAAATATTTTCCGCCTAACACTTGGGATTTCTTTTCCCCACCAACTCTCTAAATAAAATAAAAAGGTAGTAGTAAATATGATTAGAAGCAGGCTCTTATAAATTTATTGTACAATGCATGATGTAAGGATCATTTAATGAAGATTAATATCTCCTCAAAACGGAGTAAATGAGTCAAATAACAAAAGTTCAAGTAAACATTAGAATTCGTTTAACTTCTGCCGTACTCGTTACATTGTTTGAAAACAATGTCGACATTGAAGAATTTCAATGGCTAAAACCGTACTAATGGCAAAACTGTCATTAACAACTTCATCTGATCTCATTGATTATCAAATTTAATAATTTCAAATAATTGAAAGAAGTAAACGGTTATACAGGAATAAATACAAATAGGGGATTACCCTTTTAAGTGGCTGAAAGAGGAAAATAGGACAATTCGAGTACTCCGTTTTGATATACAACCATGAATACAGAGACATGTAGTAAAGGAGGTAATTATAAATATATGAGAAAGAAACTGTCGAGATACGTTTGCGGGAAAGTGAAAAAAAGGGGCTGGCAAAAATGACCGCAATCCTCCTCGTCGTCACCGCCTTTGCCTTAGATGAAATTCTTTCCGCATAACTTACTTTCGCCCCCCGACCCATCCGATTTACGACCTTCACAAAGTATTTCTGCCACTTCCAGACAGATAATTGTCCACCTTTTAAAATTACAATAAAGTCAAATGTCAGATACAGGTGAAATGCTTTTTTTGCCTAATCTATTCCACTAGCGAAAAATTACTAAGAAATTTTTTACACGTTTGTTATGAACTAATAATTTTTATGACCTTATTTGTCTCAGTGAAATTTCAATTTATTCAGTTTATCAGTGTTTAATGATCATTTACAGTTTCTTTTCAGGTACGTAAAACGGTCCGCAGCCCATTGTGTTGAAATGTTAATCAAAAACTAACTAGTCAAAATTAATGCCAAGTTTACTCTAATTAAATTAGCGAGATTTAAAAAAAATCCATACTTACTTATTAAATTGACAGTCATCTAACAATATCTAACAATCAAATGAAGAAGATAAGGAACAAGCAAGCACTATTATTTCATATATTTTAGTTTTGCCGTCTTAATTGACCATATTATTATTTTTTTTTAATCTAAGGTCTTGGTTGAGATGAAAAAGTTAGTGTCATGAGTGGGATTCGAACCCACGTTTAGAGCCCACCCATCGGCTCGAAGCCTTATTTAAAAAGAATTATCAATTGAAATACTATTACTTTTGAATCTTTCTTCAGTCTTTGAAATTTCAAGTCTTTGAAAATAAGGAAGTTTTCTTTCGTAACATGTACGAAAGCCTTATGAACATTTCGGCAAAGTGTCAGGTTGACATTATTAACAAGTTTAACGCAAACTTACTTACAAGTTCTTCTCAAAACAATCTTATTCACAAGTTTTACAGCATGTGTTCAGATGTTCACCAAAACCAATCTAGTTAAAAAGAATACCAATTCTATATTTTAGTTTTGTTGTTCATTCAACATATCCTTATTGCTGTTCCAACTCGCACGTTCTTGCACTATTCCACCAATTATTTTTTTTTAAACGGTTTTAAACTGGTAGATTCAAATTAACCCAAATATTTAATTTTTAAGTTTGACTTTTTTTATTATTTTATTTTATTATACATTTACGAATCATCTTGATCTCGGTATGGTCAAGTGAATTGAAAACAAATTCAACTGTTATATGCCAAGATTTGACCTTTTTTAGGACAAAAAATCTTAATGATATCTACAAATTGACATGATTAATAAAAATTATATTATCATAAATTGTGAATATTGTTATTGTTCTTCAATAGATAGTGTTATTAAATTTTTTTGTTTTGTTATTAGTTATTATATTGCACAGACGGAAACGACCAAAAAGTACAATTTCATAAAATATTTACTATTATTTTACATGGATGGAATTCGGGGTGCTGCCTGTTCTTCCTCCACTTGTTTAAGATTAAAAACAACAAAAACACCATCAAATATTTGAAAAACCACAATATTAACAATTAATGAAAATAACTTGCGTGTCCAGTTTCATGAAACATGAAAGGTTACAATTCATAATTGATTCTGGTATTCAATGGCAGACGTTATGCGTACAAAGACGTTATCTAATACATAATATTTATTTTTATTCCCTTATTCATTTCAAATGTTTAGTATATTTTTTAAATGTATATATAAATTTTTTACGTTATATTCATCCTTTCTTATTATTAAAATGCATTAATTTATTTATACTTTAGTTTTTATTTCAATTTAATTACTTTATTTATTTATTTGTGATTTTTATTTTTTATGTATATATCCAAAATGTTGCAGTATTGTGTAATTATTAAATTTTCGTCTTTAAACACAATTTAAACATTATACATTTATATCCTTTTCAGTTATTAAGTTCATTCTCTAGAATTTTGTGTATATTCCACATGCTTATTCTTTTCTTGTTTGTTTATTTTTAGGTTAGTGTTTTTATTCTTCCACCATGCATAATTTGTAACTTTTTTTTTAAGGACCTCTGGCAGGCGAATCTCAAAATCCATGTCTATAAGTCTTTTAATGTTCAATGAATGGAAAAATGATATAATTTCATTTGAATAAAGCAATTATGATTATTTCAATTAATTATTCTTTTTATGTAAGGTCATAGTTGAGTTGAAAAATTTAGTGTCATGAGCGGGATTCGAACCCATGACCTTCGGCTCGATACGCCACTGGTCTAACCACTTGAGCTATCGTGGCAGTGGCCGGCGTATTGAGCCGACGGTCGTGGCTTCGAATTCCGCTCGTGACCCCGAATTCCGCTCGTGACCCCAACTTTTTCATATCAACCAAGACCTTACATAAAAAATAATTAATTGAAATCATTAAAAATGGCCAATTACACCACGTATCACGGTGCCCATACAGATATGCAATGTTCAATATTAAATTGCTACAGTTTTTGTTGTTGTTAAGTTGCCACATGTAACTGGAAAATGGCTCATCATTCATGGGTTGCTAAGAGAAAGCAAACTAGTCCAAATGTAATCTAGATTTTATTTTATTTTTTATTTTATTTATTTATTGATTAGGGCGTCCAAAGAAATACCTTTATTGTATTATAAATATTGTTTACTGTAAAAGAAGATTTAGAGTCGTGGTCGTCTATAATTTTGACTGAAATATCTCAGAAACGGATATAATGTTTTCTTTCATGAATTAGCCATCTTCAGTGGGTCTGTATGATTCTGTAAGGACAAATCTTTTTTATAAGATCGTAAATGAGGGATGCATATGTCAGCGTTGCCTTTGTTTGTCGTCGTCGTACCTACACACCTTTTTTCCAAATATAGAGAACTAACTTATTTTTTATATTGAGGAATATAAAGAAACAGTGCAACAACTCAATCAACAAAATTCAAAGAAAAGGAACGAAATGGTATGTTATCCTCGATGGCACGGGAATAAATTGCCCTTGTTGGACTGTCCAAGCCATCATATTGCGAGTAAAATTCAGGCAATTCATCAATAAAAAAGTACCGTGACTGATAGATTAAAGAGTGACCATATTCTGAAAGCAGATGACATTTTTTAAATAATTTTTTGAAAATAAACTTATAAGGTATATGCAATGCACAGAGCGATAAAAATACCGAAATTTAATATTAAACAAAATTTAATAACAAATATGTTATTTTAGGTGAGAACTATCCAATAATAAATCACAACAACTAAGTTCTATAGAGAAATATATACTTAAAAATCTATTGTGAAAAATAAAAGATTTTATTGCGGGTGGCAAGAATAAAGATCTAAGTTAAATAGATCATGTATTAATCTTCATAAAATGCACTTTTTGATCACAGAATTGTAAATTCTTATCGAGATAATGCAGGTTGATGATAAAATAAGTAATTATTTAGTAAAGAATATTAATGATGAATAAAATGATTTTCCGAGATGGGAGATAAGTCGGTATTGTTAAAACAGTTAAGCAGTAATTAATTATAAACAAGCATGCTGACGGTTGTAATTTCCTGATGAACATAATTAAATTAAATTTGTTGTTTCAGATTCTGCTTTGGCGAAGGATGAAAAATCGTTGAAATAAAACCAAGGATTTTAAAACGGATGGAACCAAGGTAATTAATTTTTAAGTTCATGAATGCTAAAATTTGAACATTTTGGTTTCGAGATTAATTATTTATTGTTGTTGGATAAAGTTTAATTTTGGTTATTTTCCTTTTTTTAGATTTGAAAGCACTTTAACGTGGGTTTTATTAGCCAGAGTTACTTAGCGACAGTGGCTTTAATGAGAAATTAGTTTGTCTAATGACCTAGCCTGCATTTATATTCCACTCTAGCCTTTTTTATTGTTCAATGTTTCATTAAGCAAAGAGTTAATTTATACACTGGCGTTATACCGTCCCAGGCGTGTTTACCTATACACCAAAAAGCAAGGTTTTTAATGTTTTGTTGAAATGTATGTTTAAAAATCAATATCAACAACAACAAAACATTAATGTTTTTATGTAAGGTTTTGGTTGAAATGAAAAGTTAGTCCCACGAGCGGGATTCGAACCCACGACCTTAGCCGAAGGTCGTGGGTTCCAATCCCGCTCGTGGCACTGACCTTTTTTAATTCAACCAAAACCTTACATGAAGATTAATTAATCGAAAGAACTTATTTGGTCAATCGGACTACGAAATCTAATGGGGTTGTACATTATGTTATTATAGCATTACCATTGCACCAAGATCAAACGTCAAAATATTGTAAAATCGCCTGAAAAGAATCCGACCTGAAGCATAATTCAAATGATATTGGTTTTAAGTATAATTAAGCCGATAATTTTTTAATTGATAAAAAGTGTTCGCCTGGTTTCTCACTCTTCTTTTAGGAGAGAGAGAGAGAGAGAGAGAGAGAGAGAGAGAGAGAGAGAGAGAGAGAGAAGAGTGTGATTTTTCATTACTACTTATTTATATTTAAAACAATGAGAATAGTTATACATTATCTCGATTAATTAATAAATCAAGTCTTCTCTAAAGCTCTCGGTGGCCATTTCATTTTTCGCCGAGAATCGAATAGATTACTGAATTCATAGATTAATGAAAAATGGCAAAGACGAGGGAAAATTCGAAAGGTGGGTTGAGATGGAAAGTTGGTGTCCGAATGGATCGAAGTCACGATAGCTCATGTGGTAGAGCAGCGGCGTATTTAGCCGAAGGTCGTGGGTTCGAACCCCGCCCGTGACACTGGCCTTTTTTATTTCAACCGATACCTTACACGAAGATTAATTAATCGAAAGAATTTATTTGGTCAATCGGACCACGAAATCTAATGGGGTTGTACATTATGTTATTATAGTATTACCATTGCACCAGGATCAAACGTCAAAACATTGTAAAATCGCCTGAAAAGAATCCGCCCAGAAGCGAGACCAGTGTCGCTTTGGGGGGACATGCCAAAACACGTTTCCATTAATTATTTAATTGATCGACAAAGTTTCGTGAAACTGGGATATTGTTGAATAATTGAATCTTAATCAACGCTCGACATTCAGTCAAAATTGGTTGTGAGTAATCCGCCCACCATGCCTAAATGTATTTTGCTTTATGACTCTTCCTTATAAAAAATAAATAAATAAAAACTAAATCGTTAATATCTTCAGATCAATCAAACAACGAAGAAAATCTAACACCTTTGTGAAGTGTTGGCCAATGGCGATAAATCATAAGTATAAGTACAGAAGTGGCTCGACAAAAACATATTTTCAGAAAGGGCTTTGGTGAAATTTGATGTAATTAATGATTAATTACAATTATCAGATTTCTTACAAAAATCTCGGTAGCTCAGTAAACTCTTAAATAACAAAAATTGTATAATTATTATTGGGTTTGTATATAATTGAATATTACTTTGAATGAGCCCTGCGAAAAAGTAATTTTCTGTTTATTTCAGGTGATAAATAATTTATCAGTATTAGTATTAGTACTATTATTTATACATATATCACTAGGCATATAAAAATTATTATTGTGGGATCAAATAATAGGCAACAATACAGTTCCATTAATCCCGTTATAAATTGTCTAGTTACTTCCCGGGCTGAGGTAATGTTGTCATCAGCACGGTTGAAATGGATCCCCCTAGGTTTTCATAATCGTTGAATTTGATAGCATAATAGCAGTGGAATAAATCCAATCTGGGATCGGGAATCTGAGAGAATAATAGCAGACGGACCAGATGATGGAGATGGGAACCATGCCGATCAAATCAACAGTTTATCAGTAGGTGCACAAAGCAGCTTCATAATTTATCCAGAGTATCGATCTATCATGATAATTTGACCACAAATAAAACATCTGTTTGATCAAACTACCAGATCAACCAATCAAAACTAGTCTAAACAAGCAGGTCACGTATTAATTAAGTTCAAACAAAACCGTACATAAAAAGATTAATTAATTAAAAGAAGTAATTTGGTCAATATAATGGATTTAATAATCAATAACCTTTAAGAAAGTGATAATCATATCATTTTAACAATGTTTTATCCTAAGAGAGTGATACTAATTTGGCGTTGGAGATGTCTAGATCTATTATTGCTGATTTGCTTAGCTTGTATTTATTTAAAAGAAAATTAATTCACTTTCCGTAATTTTTCAAGAATAATATTCTGTACATTTGTATGACAAACCTTTTGGGAAGAAATTTGATTTTAAAGGTGTTTTTTGTTAGATAAAAAACGGGATTTTATACAATTCACGTGTTTCCTATTCAGTAGGAAGAAATTTCAGACTGCGTTAAAGTGTCTTTCATTGGTATTTCTCTACAGCCCTCGCCTTTACTTCAATGTTCGTTATTTTCATTCCAATTAAGATCCTTTGGGAAGGACATGTCTCTGAATATGGGAAGGCCCATTACAGCGACAGCGACGGTTCAAGGAATCCGAAAGAAAAGGGGATCAAGAAAGAGCGCCTTAGTGTATGTAATGCAGGATTTAGAACGGTAATCCTCCGGGCCTAAAGGAAAACATGAAAGCTCCTTAACCAAACAGCGGTAAAAGGGGGGAAACGTTTTTCTTACATCTCCGTTTCCGTTTTAAAAATAATTTATGAAACTGTTTAAAACGGATTTTGTGAATTGATTTAATTGCCCATTTTAAAAATAGGGCGATCCTTTCTTCGGCGGGAGGCCAGGCACGAGAGGCCAACAAAGGGTCTATCCTGTACATTATAAATGATTTGACTTTCGTTTCGCTCCATCCAGCTGGAACTATTTTTAAAATCGGCCCAACGTATTCCTGCATCTCTAATTGATTTATTGATTTACAAACAACGAACACATATCACATATGTGCTTGTGTAATTATTTATAAACGAATATAAACGACTGTAAACGCAACTTATAAACACCGAGGATAGTACAACAAGATAAATATGCTAAAATGCCCGCACATAAAAACAATCAACGAATCAATCAGTAAAACGGTCAATTGCACAAAACCTATTGGAGTAACACATGGGTAGATAACTCAGTAGCTATTTTAGAGTACATCCAACTTATTGTCGAATCTGTAATTATTTATAGATTTTTGTCGTATTATTATAAATGCATTTGGCAAAGATTTTCATTATTGTGTGTCTCGTTTTCTTCTCTCCCTCTCTCACCTCATTCTATCTTTCTGTCTATATTTCTCTCACTCTCTTTCCCTCTATCTATCTATCTCTATCTCTATCCCAATCTCTCTCTCTCTCTCTCTCTCTCTCTCTCTACCTACCTACCTACCTATCTATCTATCTCACATTCTTCCTTATTTATTCCATCATTTCACTTTCTCTTCCACTCTCTCTCTCTCTCTTCCTCCCTCTCTTTCTCTCTCTCTTACTCGCTCTGTCACTGTCAGTTTCTCCCTCTATAAAATTAGACCACATTTTGTGACTATAAATAAACCTTAATTACTTAATAATGATATCATTCATTCATTTTTCAGTTTCTCTGTCTCTGTCTGTTTGTCTGTATCTCTCTCTCTCTCTCTTACTCCCTCTCTTTCTCTTTCTCTCAAAAACATTAATTAATTTTTAAGAAATTAATTTTTCAGAGGGCAAGATTCAACTATAGTTAATTCTACCAGAAATGTAACCTATACATAATGAAGAAAGCTACTCTCGCTTTTTCGTTCTCCTTCCCTCTCTCCTCTCGCTTTCTCCCTTTCTCTCTCTCTGACACCAGCTCTCTCTGCCCCTCCCACTCTCTCTTTCACTCTCTCTTGCTCTGTCACTGTCTCCCACTCTCTCTTGCTCTGTCACTGTCTCCCACTCTCTCTCGTTCGCTCTTTCTCCCTCTCTCTCTCTCTCTCTCTCTCTCTCTCCCTCACTCACTCTCTCTCTCTGCTAACCTTGCTAAAACCCTTTTGTATTAATTAAAGTTTGCTGTTAACTAAATTGAAATACGAGGAAAATTATTTGATGCATCATTGCTTTATAACTGTACCATTTTAGTGCAAGTGTGTAATTATTAGCAAAACAATGGTAACTATTGAGAAATTATTGAGCTGTACAAACATTATCTACACCGGGATTGATATTGGCTGTGAGCCCAACTTTGATTTCTGTAAAACATTACGTTTACATCGGAATTTATTCGTGAATATTCTAGCTATAATCGATTTACGATTTATTGTGCTTTTACCGAACGAATCACCTTATATTTAAGCGAGAAATTTTTGAAAGGTCGACATAACATTCGGTGCTTGATTGTATTGATTAAAACGTACTTAAAAATAAGTGTTCTTTCAAAAGTTCTCAGTTTTCTCAGAAGATCTTCCTAGTAGAGTGTTAACTTGGTAAAGGTCAAATTATTTTCAAACTTTATCCATTAATTTCCGCTGTTTTTTTTTTCGTTCCATTCGTAATCATTTCGCCTTCATGTTTTTCCAGAGTGCGTGATCGTTAATTTAACATGATTTCATACAATTGCTGTGAACCTACACCTTCATTTATATCAATTTTACTTGAACATTGACGCAAAAGTTATACAAATTCTCGAAAAATGTATTTTTACATACCGTGCTGCAGCAGCCAACGAGATTGCCTGGCAAAAACACATTGCTCTTACGGTTTTCATAGCCCAGGAATG